CTTTCTCTGCCCCGCACCCTCCCCAAACTCGTTCCTTAGCCTGCCGTTCCTCTCTACAACAGCAACCTGGCAATGATAATGAATGGCTATTTGGGTCAACTACTGGTTCAGTGCCTGTTTCTCGCACAGATCTGGTGAGCACCAGGACAGACTGGATTCCTAGTGCCCAGCACAGCGGAGGTATGAATTCATGACATTTGTTGAATGACTGCCTTTAGGAAGAGGAAAAATGTTTTAATTTTACTGTGCCCTTTTTATTTTTTTAATAAATCTTTTTAAAAAAGATTTTATGTATTTATTTGATAGAGATAGAGACAGGGAGAGTGTGAACACAAGCAGGAGGAGTGGGAAAGGGAGAAGCAGACTTCCTGCTGAGTGGGGTTCCATCCCCACCTTGGATCATGACCGGAGCTGAAGGCAGATGCTTAAAGGCTGAGCCACCCAGGCACTCCTTTACTGTGCCCTTTTTAAAAGGCAGTTGAACCCAGTGTCCTTGAAAGCCCAGCCACTCATGATAAAAAGTTAGAAGCTTATAGGGAATTCACCTACATTGAGACTGCTAGACTCTCATTTTTTATATTAGTGCTCCGCTCCAACTGGCTAATAAGATACTGTTGTATTTCTTTAAAAATTTTTTCAGGTAATAGAACCAAAGCAGTATAGTGTCTTTGAGCTAGGACTGGCTGTTTCTATAACTGGCCGATGTTAAGACGGTCTTGAAAGGCACCAAAGGAGACACAGGCAGCTTGAAAAACTTAGCACAATTCTCTGAAGAATAAAAGTTACCACCATTGAGCACCTTGGTGCCCGTGTGGTCAATTTGATTATTCCTGTGACTTAAAGATATTCTCCTCCAAATGAAGGCATAGAATGTTCTCAGAGAGTTGAAAAAAAAATGTGTAAATCACTAAAATCATTCCCAAACTCTTGAGCACAGTTAAGCATCACCACAAGTCTTCTGGCCAAGGTTTGTCTGAAACGATGACCAGGGTAAATGCTTTACTGATTCTTGGCCTCCTCTCCTGCACTCTGCCCCTGATTCTTGGACCCTAACTCTGTGAGGGAGACTAAAACAAGAGGAACTTTGTGTAGGCCAAGTGATCAAAGTTTTTATTGAACTAAATCAAAATAAAAGAGGCCTTCTTTGTACTCTTCTCACTATGGATGGACTCATTCACCTTAGCTAGGTTTAATCAATTTCCTGGACCTTGGTTATAAATTGTACTTTATCAGTGGTCAAAAGCTGAACGTCTCATACCCAACATTTCATTGGTCTGAAGCCACGTCCTTTTCATGTAGCTGATAAATGGCTATATCCGGTATACAAAGTCCTCCTAAGAATATATAGACACTGATTCAGAACCTACCCAAATCCACATGGTTATTCATAAATAGCAAAGGCCATGCAGGGCTTCCTTAGAAACTGACCTCCGGTAGGAGGGGACATCTGAGATCGCTGGGGAAGACAAAGACTACAACCTACACAGCCCTGCATCACCAAAGGGGTGTCTCATGGGCCTTTACTGGAGAATGGAAATGGTTTTCACAGGATGCCTACCTGCTAGGTACCCACAGGGAAGCTAAATGTGCAAGTCTGACTGGGGGCTTTAACTGGCGCCACGAGCGGGGTAGGTCAAGTTCCTCCTCTGGAGACCATAAACACAAGTCATCCCCGTGGGCCAGGGCAGCACACACGGATGGGGACCCAGCAGTGGTAGGATGCTGGAGGGGAGTCCCTGGTGGTGGGGACAGTTATTACTTAGGGGTTCAGAATTTACAGCCATTGCTGCGTTTAGTGTTTCTTCTTCGTCCTAGTGGGCGATAGGAGCAAGATGAAGGTCAACAGATAAAGCCGGTATAATGTCTTCATGCCCGGTGGTCACAAGGGTCCCTGCTTCCGATGAGAAGCTGGGGCTCATGCATGTTGGTTCCTAAAGCGAAGTGTCCTTGGGCGTGCTGTTGCCTTCGGTGCAAATGGGGACTCAGCGGGTATGTCCCCGTGAATGCACGTGCCCGGCTCAGTCTGAACGCTGACTCGCCTCCAAGATAGAAACTCCAGAGAGTGCCACAGAAGAGACACGAGGAGGCCTTGGCCGCAGCTCTGATGGGGGGCACGAGAGCCAGAACCCATCTCAAAGAAGAGCACCTGCTGGGGGCTGCTTCTTTGCTCTTGCACAAAAATCCTCACGTTCTCAGAGGAAAAGACCCACAGAAGCAGAGGCCAGGTAGAGAATACGGGAAAACATGACTGGCTTATCAGAGGCAGGCTGGAGGCAGTGACAGCGGGCTCTGGAGTCCGATCCCCTGGGCTTGAAACCCGTTTTTCCCCTAAGCTGTGTGACCTCTAGCAAGTCATTAACTTCTCTGAGACTCAGCTGCATTATTCTGAGACGATGGGTTATTGTGAGGATTAAATGAGACAATTCAGGTAAAGTGTGGAACAGGGTAACTGTCACAGGTTAAATGCTTTGGACAGCGTTAGAAATTGTTATTTTAGCAACTTGATGAGGAAACATAAAGCCCAAATAAATCATATCAGGTAAGAAGGGACGAAAATATAGATCAAAACAAAACAAAACAAATAATGCAAGGCATCCCATGAAAAGACTTTGCATTAGTTGACGATCTAGGCTCAAGGGCCAAAAGTTCTTATGTTAAAATTAAAAAAGAAAAAAGAAAAAGAAGGGAATGCACATAAGCGTGTGTGCACGCACAGGCACATTTACATTCTTGAGTATCTGAGATGTTCTGTGGGATGACAGTGGGAATTTTCTAGGATTTACATGGTAAGTGCCTTTAACTTGAAAGTAAGGGTAACAGCGAGGAGCACACTAACCAAGGCAAATGGTCAGGGTTTTCAGGGTGTGAAGCTCCAGACAGGTGGTGACCTTCAGAAATACTCTTGGATGGAACAAACCACAAGGAACGAAGCAGGAAAGGCAGGATATGGGGCAGAGCCTGATAGGACACTGCTTAGGTGAGGAGAGAGGTGTGGCCAGAGTCTAAAGGAATAAAAGTGGGGGTCCAACCAGCAGAAGCATATGGTTCTCAGGGGAACTGGAGGATATGGCCCAGCTCTGGGTCGAGGGCTCGTTCCAGGAGCCCCAGCTGGCGTGGCTGGCTGCAGAGGACACCAGGACACAGCCGCGAGGAATTTCAACTTGTGCCCAGGAGACGAGCCAGAGGTGGGCATGCAGGTGTACCGCTGCCCTCTGAGCCCCACTTCTGAGTGCTGCTGAATTAGCACCCACCCCTCCCTTCACACTGCCTCTGCCTGGGCCTTTTGAAGGTCTCTGCCCCACAGCACTACGGGGACTGTGTCGACTACAGTGTCATTCTCACAATAGAAGATGGTGAACTTCAAACTTCCCATGCACTGAGCATTCTTCGCCCTGACAATACGACACTTATAAACTTAAACTGGAAACGGTTTCGCTTGCCTACTGCTGCTTGCAGAAGCCTGCGAGGTACAATTCTGAGGACCGCAGTTCAAGGCTTTGATTACTTATCTATACTTGCCTTCTTGGGGCTTGTGTGGACATTGAGATCAGATAGACCTGGGTGTGAACCCTGTGCACGCACTGGCCTGGGACATGGGGCTAATTACTTCCCTCCCTGAACTCTGGTTTCCTCTGTGTTAAGTGGGGTTTGTACAGGTTCTGCATGAGGGGCAATGGCTATATGCAAAGAGAGTATGATAGTACATGAGATCCTGGGTATAAGCAAAGAACCTAACCCAGAGGCAGGCGCCCTGAAGTCACTAATAATTGCAACTATTGGGTCTTCATTGTTGCTGGTCTCCCTATGAGGAGATATGAGGTTGATGAGATTTTACTGCAAACTGGAACGGAGGCCCTCACTGATTTCAACCAGGGACGCTGGACCTGGATGGGCCAGTTAAAAAGCAGTCTGCCCCTGGTGCCCACAATCCACCAGCCTCCAACGGCAGTGGCACCTGACAAAGCAAGTGAATCGCCCTAGACTGTTAACGTGGAGCAAGATGGCGTCTGGGCACGCTATAGAATGGCTACCCTGTTCCTGGGCCATTGGTTTACCTCCCATCTGTATCCCGCTTTCCCAAGAGTGATGCTCTCAGCTGCCTAATTGTGTAGGGGCTTTCATTTATCCAACAAAGGAAGGCGGCTTTAACAAACATCTCTATGGCCATAGGGGTGAGGGCCTCAGCCAGACAAGGGTGGCCAGGGCTATGCTTGTCCACACAGATGGCAGAACGCCCACCAGTGAAGGCCAGGGGGGCCCTCCAGCTGGAGGACCAAAGGGTGCATGGCTGGCCTTGGGATATGCTTTCCCCAATGTCCAGAGGAGTAGCTAAGGCAGACCCTGCTTTTCCATACTTGACACCTCACTTGCCTGCCCAGTCATTGTGGTCTGGTTGACATGACACATGACCTCAGTCATGGACTCATGTATTCCTGTATGAGTCCATGCAGTCCACCAGTGTCCCCAAGGCACCTGCTGTGTGTGCAACCCTGTTCTAGGCACTAGAGATTCATGATGCAGAGACGCATCGAGGATAAGAGAGTCAAAAGCCTCTGTCCTCAGGCACATACACCGCAGTGTAAGACACAGGAAGGTGCACAGGGAGTGTGGTAAGAGCTACAGAAGAATAATGAGGCAGGGAAGGCCAATGGGACGTGCTGGAGGGAGGGGAGCAATTTTAAGCAAGGTGCTCCAGGAGGCTGCCCAGAGGAGGTGATATCTGAGTAAGACCTGAAGGGGTGGAGGCCTTTACCCGTGAGATGACCACACCAAGGTCAGGTCCCACCAAGGTCCCATGGCCGCCCTGTGCCAAGTAAGGGACGTCCTTCCTTTGTAAGAGCGCTCAGGCCTCCTCCCCCTTTGCATGTTAAGGTGCGTGCTCCCCGTGGGCTGTGGCCCCACACAGCGCAGGGACCCCGGCACCTCCCAGGATGCCCTATAGGTGACACAGCCGGGAGGCATGGGCTCCTGCGGTGGCCCCGGGGTGGGGGGGCCCTCACCTCCTCCAGCCGCCGGCGCTGCTCCTTCTGCTCCTCTATGCGCTTCTGGCGCTCAGCCAGCAGCTGCCGCTTGTGCTCCTCGTTCTCCCGCTGCTGCTGCTCCAGCTGCTGCCGCCGCAGGGCCTCCGAACGTTCCTTGTTGGCCAGCTGGAGCCTCAGGAAGTCCCGCCGCAGTGTGGACTCCCCCGGCAGGTTCAGGATGGAGCTGCGGGCGGGAGAGGGAGAAAGGTGGGGGTCCTGCGGGGGGGGGACCCTTGGTGCCCGCGTGCTGGGGAATACCAGCCAGGCAAGCAGGTTGCCTCGAGGCGGGAACGGGAGCCACACACCCCGCCAGAGCTCTCAGACCCTCTGTTACAATACTCAGCCCCAGAGAAACCTAGTCAAGGGAACAACAGAGTAGTGCGCCACCTCTTTTCAGTGTGACTGTGGGCAGACACATGCTGTCCCCATCCCCAGAGAGATGTCACCTCTCTCCAGCACCATCCACACGGCTCGCTCACCCTTGGGACATGTAAAGATCTGCTTCTACCGGTTTTACTGAGTGTGCGAGCCCTAGGGCCTGGATCAGCTGAATTTGCATGTTTAAGAAGGGCAGGAACAAAGCCACCAAATGAAAGAAACAACGGGGAGCAGCAAGGGAACGCGTTCTACTAAGAGGACATCCCCATCCCCGCACCAACATCCGTGACCCCTTGCACCCGACCCCAGGAGGCAAAGGGCAGGCTGCTCCTGTGAAGACGTGATAAGCCAGGGAGGGAACACATCTGAGTCAAGGTGACCGCAGAGTAGAATGTGAACCCACGCCTGCCAAAGTCTGAGCATTCAGGGCTGGTTTCATGGCATCACGGTTAAAGAAATGTGACACGGTTTGGCTCTGGAATAGACAGTGTAGCCAGGACTTCAACTCAAGCTCACGGATCCCTAGATTCCGGTGAAGCACCGTGGGTCTCGGTTTTCTCATCTGTAAAATGGTAGTTGTGCATCATGCCCATTTGTGCACGTGCATGTGTGTGTGTGTGTGAGTGAGAGAGAGAGAGAAAGAGAGAGAGAGACAGAAAGAAGGAGGACAGAAAACACCATAAAGACACTCCACCTACTTCCTAGTGGTCCAGGGCTGCCCTGTTCACATCTCACTGCATGTGAACAACTCAAAGTTAGTCTTTGGTTGTGCCCAGCAGCCTAACAGGGAGGTGGGGCAGTCTCCTATTTGTTCCCGAAAACCTAGCCCTTCTAACCTTTCTGGCAACTTGCATCTGAAACGAATCTATTCAATAACTAGTGAGCTGCTTCTAGGTCCCAGGCTCTGTAATGGGCTCTCGTGACCAGAGTAGGAGCTAAACAAACTCTCTCTCTTGTTATCTTTTTGTGGGAAAGAGAGACAGACAAATAATTAGACAAATGACTACAAATAACACAATTTCATACATGAATAGGCTCTATAGAAGATGTGATAGTTTAAGAGTGACAGTGGCAGGAGGCTGGGGTGGGGATGAAGGGTTATGCTTCAGATGGGGTGATCGGGGGAGACCTCCCTGAGAAGGTACCAGATGAGCTGAGACTCAAAGGATGAAGAGCCAGTCCCACGAAGAGGTAGGGGAGGAACCTTGCTGGCAGAGAGGAAAGCAAACGTAGAGAGGCTTGTGGTGGGAACAGGTGGGGCCTCTCTGAGGACTTCCCAGAGCAGAATGAAGGATAGAGGTGGCCCAGGAGGAGGCCAGGGACCCTGGGCAGCCCCGGGGAGGCACGTGGCATGGAAACCCTGCACAGAAAGGTTATAGTCAGGAGACCAACATGATGGGATGTGTTTGGCTGCCGAGGGACAACTGTCTGCAGAGGGCAGAGGTTAAGCAAAGCCACCAGCTAGGCTGTTCCTGCAGCGGCTCTGGGGGGTGGGGCGGGGCATGGGGATGGAGGCAGAGAAAAGCAAAAGTGGCGGAGTTCATGAAGCCTATTCATGGGTGTGGTATGTGGAGCAAGCGGTGACTTGCAAGTTTTGTCTTGGCGCCTGGACAGTGGTGGGGGCGTCAAATGGGGAGGCAAATGGCGGGGGGAGCAGGTTTGGTGGCAGTTGACAAGGGGATCATTCTGGGTCGGACAGTGTAACCACCGTGCTGTGTGACTGCCATCTATGCCCACGATGACATAAAAAGGCTTCGTTCTTGAGGTCCTACAGAGAGTGCTTGGATTCCATGAGCACACGTCCTCTAAAATGTCCAGCTTTTGTGTAGAACACTCAAACAAACCCCAAGTGACAGTGCTCATGTACCCGCGCCACAAGCTCTGTGGACTGATGGTGGCACGTGGGAACCATGTACACCAGGAGGCTCCATTAATATAAGCCAATGCTGAATCAATGTCAGGCGACTGGAGCTGTCGTAGTGGCTCAATCACTAACTTGGTGTGTGGCTTGGGCGCCATCTTTGGGCTCTTACCCCATTTCTAAAATGAGATAACCACTGTCCCTTTCTACTTCCAGGATTTCATGAAGATTAATTACATGAGTCCATAAGACAGGACTTGGAACATAATCTTCAATGTGATATAATGACACGTTACAATTATCGAAGTGTTAAGTCACGGTTTGGCCTGCCCACTAAGTGACTCCTAACATGCCGTTTGGCAAGTACTAGTTAAAGCAGGGGTTCTCAGTTCTGCAGAGGGTGATCAGTAGGACTGACAAGACATCTGGATGGGCTCTGAAAAAAGAAGAGTAGCACGCAACTTCTCTGAGAGCAGGGCATTTGGTCCTCTGCCTTTATAAGAATGTTCCTTTTCTATGTCACTACTTGACAAACATCGTCTTTATGGAGCTAAACTGGGGGCAGCCAATGTGTAAAGCATCGGATGGAGGGAAAAATACTCCTTCAGTCTTTGACCTTGAAAATGCCCGTAAGCAGGTGTAGAGAAAAACTGGATGGCGCTGTATGTCCCTCCCCCTTCTAGTAGTGGAGCAATAATTCAGCTTTGTAGATCTGAATTCACTCAGAAAAAGAATCCACCAGCTTCTTCTAGCAGCAAGGACTGAGCTGGCCCCTTTTCTGGGCAGGCAGCTTTGCCTCAGTAGTACGAGAATGACTCCTCCCGGAGCACCGGAGTCTCCTCCTTGGATGGCGAGCTGATGGGGACCCATTTCCCCCAGTGAGCCTCCTGCTTGTGCATTTCCCCCAATAAATCTCACTTCCCCAGTGTAGGCCACTGACCACGGTGCATATGCCTGTGCATATGCCTCAACTCACCAAATTGCCACCAGCTGACCTTTCTTATGGAAGAGAAATCCTGGCAATGTGAGCACACTAACCTTATTTATTCATAAACAAACTGGAAGGAAGTCGGAATCAATGTCAAGTGAAATTTGAAAGGCATGGATCATAATGATAAAGCAACACTGATCCTGGGAGTCCAATATGTGACAACTGGAATGAGGAAGAAATTTTCTATTTAAGGTTCCCCTCTCGAGTGTGATTTGAATTCCTGGAAATCATTTCCTCTCAGATTAGCTTGTGGTGAAAATACCAAGACATGCAACAAGGACAGTGGCTGCCTACATGGGCTTCTCAAAGGTATGAAGTAATGAACTGAATAATTCGAGTCCTAAAATACCACTTAGGTCTCCTGAATGTCGCAGTTTTAGGACCTTTGAGTCTTGCATTATCCAGATAATTGTCTCCTACCCATTCCACATGTTCTGTATGTGAGGAAACAAGGTCTTTGGATAGAGACCATAAATCTTAGGGGACAAGATAAAGAATACGCTGATTTCCACATTTTTATAAGAATCTGCCTGGGGACATTCTCCCAAATTAATGAGTATGTTCATGGGCAATAAATTAAATAAGACCACCTTGCTGGATTCTTAAAAATGAACCAATAAATCAAAAGGAAGTGTGTTCCACACAAGCACAGTTCAGAAAGTGAAAATAAGACTTGGCTTTTGCTCTCCTACCTGGGCTCTCCTGAGTCATTCTCCTCCTCTTCTTCCTCACTTCCGCTGTACTCGTACTCGGTCTCATCTAAAGAGAGACTCACAGAATGTTAGTGCACAAGAAGATGCTACAGCTCAGTCAATCCTACCTCCCTTGCTTTATGTATAAGTGACCTGAGGTCCAAAGGGTTGTCATTAATGCTGACCTGGGACAGGCTCCGGGCCTCCTAACTTGTGATCTAACAGTTTCCACCAGGTGAACGGGATTCAAGTACATGAAATTCACCTAAAAGACTGTCCCAGCTGACTCTAGATATCTGTCCCTAATGCCTGCTGTTCATATAACAAGGAACTGAAAAATAATTGTTCAGTTTGTGTTAATTCCCATTAGAGGACTACCTAAACCAATCTTTGTTGGCCCACTATTAACTTATTGTCTGTATTAATCATTTTTTAAGCAAGAGTTTTATTATGACTTACATGGACCCACAAATTGTCTTTAGATATCACCAGAAAGAAATTTGACAGTGCATGCTATTAGAAATATAGAGTTAAATGACCTACTGGGGACATTCATTTAATTCAGTAACATGTTAAGCAAGTTAACACGTAATAATGAATAAGATTAAATCTTTGCTTTGGAGGAGATCAGAATCTAATGGGCAAGATGGACAAGTAGGTCATTAGATCTGCCATGATTATTAAGTTTTTCTTTCTTGGGTGTCTCCCATGCTAGTCACCCGCTAGATATCTGACTTATGTTCTCTCATTTATTTTGCTTCACGATCCTTTAACACACTACTCACTTTTCAAGCAAGGATACTATTACAAGAGGGCAAGTGATAGGACCAATGACTTCTTAGTAAAAACTGGTTGCTCGATCTGGGATTTGGATTTAGAATTCCATCCAGAACTTTTTCAACTTTAAAACTAGTGCTCTCTCCTACATATTATATGCTAAATAGGAGTTCATAAAAAGAGCAGTACGATACCAGAGAAAAGAGCAAGTAGTTCCATTTGTCATAGTGGGGGAAGGGCCCAGCAAAGTTTTTTGAGGAGGAAATGAGCTAGGCCTTGCTTGCAATGTTGGTGGCCCTGTTCCAGGCAGATGGCAGCTGAAAGTGGTGGGAAAGGGCATTGTAAGCAACATAACCACATGAGTAGGCTGACGATAGTACAGGCCATGACATGTTCACAATGAGTTGTGAATGGCTAGATGTCTGGCCGTGAGAAAAGCTGATGGAATGAGTAAGCCCAGCATGTCTGATATGACTTCCTGATCCTTATATATACCTTGCTGAGGACTTTTCTGTGGGCATTGGGGAATTTTGGAGGAGCTTTTAATTTTAAGCAAGGGAGGGTGTCACATTACTATGATCCTTTCATAGTTGTGGGTTAGTAATTACAGCTTTAAAGGCATTGGTGCGGCCCTAAAAAGGAACTAAAACTGCAATTTGGTTGTGTTACCACCAGGCAGCAGCACCAATGATAAGAACTGAACACTGCCTTCCCTCCTCTGCAGCCAGGAAAGGGATAGTGAAAAGGAGCCCAAAGCACATTGACTTCAAGTATATTTTTCCAAATCACAAGTTAGCTTCAAGTGCTTAAGTATGCGTGAAGCTTTCGGGCCTCTTATTTTTTGAGTATTATTTCACCAAATGTAAAAGACCTTCATAAAGTGTTTCGATATTCCACACGGAGAGTTGACTATTCCAAACTTTCCTGAATCAATAGAGAATTTGAAAGAAAAGGCAGAAATTTTATCTAGCAAAGGAAATCCTAGCAAGGGAAAGAAGCACGCAATTAATCCAAATATTTCTACTCTCCAGGGTAAAACCTTCATTTGTCAGCGTCTTCAACTGTAATAGTTCACCAGAATTCAGTCTTGTTGTTTTTATATTGTTGGCATAAATTTGCATATGTCCACATATCTTAAGGAAAAAATAATATCGGGTTAAAAAAAATCATAAATCAATTCTCATTAAAATTGTTTGATTGTACCAAAAGCTGGTCTTAGAGCTACTAAGAGAGAGAGAAAGTATTAGAGGAAATAAATTAAGTCATTAGATAAAACTGAGCAAATGGAATGAGACATCAATCGACTGATACTCTTTCTGGGGAGCAGACAAAAAAGAAGGCTTCTAATGGCTCTAACCCAAACAGAATTAGGTCCTCACATTACCAGGGCACTCCTGAGTTCATCTCTTATGGAGAATCTTACTCTTCTACTCTGCAGAGAAGGAACACATTAAAAATAGTCTATTGTCATAGAATGGGGAGTTCTGAGTCACATTCTAGCATCTGTGACCCCCAAATGTGAAAACAACCCAGGGCACAAGCTTTACCCAGACTACTCACAGGTCAAAGGGAAAGAGGTCATGAGTCCTCAGAAAGTACTCTGAATCGTGCTGAAAAATTATAGGTCAATAAAGAACGGTTTATATAAGAATAGCTAATATTTATTGAGTATGTGTATATGCCAGACATTGTATTAAACATTTTAATGCCTTCTCTCATTTCATCTACGACACTGTCAGGCGATACTGATCACTATCATATCCCCTCTCTCATTTTAAAGTTGAGAAAACTGAGATGAAGTTCACGTAACTATTCGGGGGTAGAGCTAGAATGTGAACTCAGAATTTGAATCTGGAAGCAAAAGGCCCACGGAAAAAGAAACTTCCCTTTTAGAGAATAGAGAAGTCAGCCTTTAATGGTGGCGTGTTTGATGAAAAATCAGTCCTGGAACTTTTTTTTTTTTTTTGGAGGGGTGGGAGGAGCAGGGGTGGGAGGAGCAGGGGCAGAGGGAGAGAGAGAGTCTCAAGCAGACTCACCCTCAGGCAAGCAGACCCCACCCTCAGCACTTAGCATGGAGCCCCACACAGGGCTCGATCTAATGACGCTGAGATCATGACCTGAGCTGAAATCAAGAGTCAGGCACTTAACCGACCATGCCCTCCAGGCGCCCCAGTGCTGGAATATTTTGATTTTGATTTACCTATTTCTCTCATGCCTGGTTCTTCCTGGTTCCTCCAATTCCCCTCCCAGCAACTTCTAACAGACACTCATCTCTCTCCGCCCACGACTAACTGGAGATGGGGCTCCTTTATTTTCATTTTTTGTTTTGTTTGGGATTTTTATTTATGTATTTCTTTTCCTGGGCTGTAAAAATTTTTCGTTCAATCAAAATAGCCAATGAAGCTTCATTTTCTACTTAGTACTTGAAGTAAAAATACTTTGGTCCCCAAACATTTAACAGTGTTATTATTATTATTTTTTTAATTAAAGTATAGTTGACATACACTATTTTATTAGTTCAGGTGATGGGCCTCCTTTTTGGCTTAGCCTCATAATCTCCTGAGTCGAACCTGATCGCATATTTCCCTGAGTTCCTGAGGCTGGCAGCCAGGAAGAAACTCTTCCCTTGAACCTTCACTGAGGGTTTCTCCTCCTGTTTGGCCCCCAGCTGCCCTCACGTCTGCCCAGTCTTGCCTCACACTTCTCACTGCCCACCCCACACACCTGCTCCCTCCTCGCCACGTTACAGACAGCAACTGCAGAAGCAAAGAAGGGGAATTCAAATAAAAGGAGAGTGCCCTCCGTCCTGTGCTGCCCACCACCTTCCAGTGCTCCATCTGGCTTAGAAAGGGCAGAGAACGGCGTCCAGGACAGAAGTGAGAAAAAGCACATGGCCAAGTGCCTCCGCCCTTGGTGCCCGGCCTTCCCTTTCCCCTCCACTCCGCACATGCTCAGTGCTCATCTCGCCAGCCCTATAATGTCTCCTCAGTGTCACCTCTCCTTCCCCCCATCCCCGCTGCTCCTCCTGCCTCCACGCAGGGAGGACTCAACCTGTCTGTCATCTGGATCTTTCCCTTTCCTCCCCATAACTCAACCTTCCATACTTCCTACCCACCAAGGCGTAAAACCTGCCCCAGACCATGTGAGCTTTCTCTGTAGTCAGGTTGCTAGATAAGGAGGTCTGAGTCTCTATTCAAACAACCAAGATACAGTCTCAGGGCTCCAAGTTTGCCTCATGTCCTTTCCACTGACACACTGAGGAGACAGTGTGGTACAATAGCAAGAGCCATAAGAGATAAGAGTTTTGACTCTATAAAATAAAGAAGTACATTAGATGACATTCTAGCTCAAGGTTCAATTAATGTTCTCTATACCAAGTCTGGCAACCCTGTGACTCTAAGAAAATTCGTTCTGACTTTTTTTTTTTTCTTTTCGTTCTGATTTCTGAAATTGAAATAAGCCTCGGAGCACAAAAACGTATATGTTGAAGACCGCCGGTATAGAAAAATGTCAACTAAGTGTTTTTTTAAGGTAGTCTTCTGTCGATTTTTAGTTTTTACAACATGAATATTCGTTTAAACTAAGAAAATCACTTGTCATACTAAACCATTTCATAGTATTACTCAACATGACTTTTTGTCAGTGCCTGGAAAAGGGAATATTCCTTACAGTTCCGCCCTCTCATGAAGATTCCATTTCACAGTCTCACTCCACTGATGCCTACAGGCTGCGAGTCCAGAGGCAGCCCTTCACATGAAAGAATAATGCAGGCCCATATGAAACCCCCACGGCCACCTCCAAATATACCGAAAGCCCATGGCCCGCTCCCTCTTTTGTTTCCTTTGCTGAGATACGAATGTGCTTCTAACCTTTCTCTCCTCGCTTCTTCTTTGTTCTGTCGATATGGTCCTTGAGTTGAATGCGGACCTGTCGTTCGTTAGGTTGGTCTCGTATAAATGGATGCTTCATCAATTGTTCTGTTGCTGGTCGCTGGCTGTGATTCTTTACCAAGCAGCTCTCAATAAATGACTGGAATTTTTTTGACCTGCCACATGAAAGAGAGGAACCCACAGATAAAAAGACAATCCAAAGAAAAAGCAAACTTCCATTTTCTAAAACACGACCATGAAAAGAAGAAGAAAATAGGTTCCATTAGCCAACACAGGGATCAACCAATCACAGAGTAGGTCTAGAACTTTATTAGGCAAAATGGGGCTCAAAGCCACTGTCACCAACAGCACACAGTTCAGGCAATGTATGGGAGTTACACGCATAAGAGCATTTTTGCACAGTTTATGTGTAATATCACACACGAGACCAAAAGGAATCGGAGAAGAGAAGGACCTTGGTGAGACTCATATCTGGAAGGTATGTTGTAATAAGGGAGCCTGAGCTGGGCTTTAAAGAAGGAAGAGGAAATCACTCTGGGAAGACAGTTCAGGGAGGCAGGAAAGGGTGAAAAACGAAGGCTGGGGTTGAGCACACTACACATCGGGGGACACTGAGGTAAGCTGTCTAGATGAGGCAGAAAATGCAAGCCGGGGGAGAGCAAAATCAAGGTTGGGTAGGTAAGGAAGAGTACATTTTATAGAAACAAGAAAGACTCTTACTTGGTAAAGTGAACTTGGTTAAGCAAATTTTCTAACTGGTGATTTCAAAATTACTTTTGCACTTTGCTCTCTAATTAATAAGAACAGGGTGTATGTGTATGTTTGTTATCAACCTAAGGACTTGGAAACTTAGGGACTAAGTTCATACCCAGAAGCGCATTTATCTCCCTCTAGAAAGGCACTATTTCCTCAAAGATAAACCCTGTGCCAGAGAGGCCCAGGGCAGGGGAGAGCTGGCGAGAGACACCATGGCAATGAGCAGGGGAGGAAGTCCACACCGTGGTAGAAACAATGGTGGACTTTAGCTGTGATTCATGAGTTGGGCATGCATGTTCTTATTAAGAGTTCCAAGAAATTGTCCAGCATCATAAATAATTACTTCACGACTATATAGCATGCCTTTCTGGTGTGTTCCACTGGCAGCTTGGCATATCACCCTCAGAGGCCTTAAGGGAACTCAGGTGGCGCTCTCTGCTGCCCCGCTCTGCTCAGAGGAGGAGGGAATCCATTTTGTGCTCTCCGTCGCCCTCCTGTGGAGTGCTGTGGAGTAACACGAGCGGATCCCAGGAGCCCGTTTGCCTGGGCTGGCCGGCAGGCCCTCCGCACAGACTGCAGGCTTGAAAGCTGTCCTTGTCACGCAGAACACAACGGTGGGCGTGTTATTTAAAATTCAAATACAAGAGGCCACTCATAGATGCACCACTCTCCCCGTCGGCACAGGTCAAAGCAGTTTCTCATCTTACTCCGTGATTTTAAAGGACTGAATTATTCTTATTTTTTTCCTCCCCAAATTTCTAAGTTAAGTTCAACCTTTTAAATTATTTAACATAGAAGTAGATGCACCCGGCTAGGCTTGGGATCACCCCAGCCGCCCTGTGGACTGTGAAAAACAGGAGTAACAGGGTGGACACTGTAGACACCTTCTTGCGTGTCCTTCATGGCCCCCGGCTTTCTCCACACTGGCGGTCTCCAGTGTCCCGCGGGCCCGAGTCATCTCTAGCCAGAGCACCCCTCCTGCCCCCAGATGCTTGGTGAACAAATGAATGCCCCCATGGTTATCAGATGTGAGTTCCGGACAAGTGTGTGAAATGGCTACTTTCCAATCTGTGCTTGTGAGGGACAGGAAGGGAGGTTTGGAGAGGAGACAGTGTTGAATACGCTTTCTTTTTCAGGCCCACCAGCCAAATCTGTGGAGGCACAAACGTGACACCCTCGAAGGAGCGACTGTGGGAAAGAAGCCTCATGGACTAACGGGATGGCCTGAGGAATAACCTGAAGAGAACAAGGTTAACCCGTATGAGGAAACAGACAAACTCCACACGGCACTTTTCTAGGTAGAAAAATCAGTATTGAGAACATGAAAACAAAAACAAATTCAGACAGGGAGCTGTTAAAAATTCAGGAGAAATGCAAATGAAGGCTTTTTTTTTTTCCTGCTTGTAACTAGAAGGAAGTGCTTTCTTTTTATAAAGTGCTCAACTATTAATTAGAAGGTGCTAAATAAAAGCAATCACGCCCAACTTAAACATGAGATCCAGGTTTGAAAAACTGCACATTCCATTCCCCAATACTGATGCCTAAAACAAGGCAGTGGCATCTCTAGGAGGAGGGTGTGTTCAGAGTTCAACAGAACAAACTGCGGTACAGAGCCCTCCTTCCGCCGCCTCTTCCGGTGGGAAGGGACCTTCAGAGATATTCAGGAGAATAACTCTGCGTCCAGAGGTTGGGCCAAGATGTGCAGGACCACAAAGCTCATGTCTTCTCAATGCCTCATGTCTTCTCATGTTTCATGTCTTCTCAATGTCTCATGTCTTCTCATGTCTCATGTCTTCTTAAAAATGGTATCGTTTGAAGAGAAAATAATGCTTCCTTAAAACCAGTCTTCAAAGAAAGATTCATTGGCTCTTATTTAAGTTAGTGTGACCAAAGAATCAATATGCTTAATTACACATTTAATTAAAAGTAAAAACCCTTCCCTTCAGTTGCACACCACTTGACTGTTTCCCGATTGGTCTAACAGGTTTAAAGTACATTTATATAACTTTATTGTTTGCATCTCTGCGCTGGGAATTTAGTTCTGTCTCTTTTAAAAAATGCCCAAGATTAATCATACTGATTCCCCCAGGGCTGGCCTGGAGACACAGAAGTTCATGTTTGGTGCTTACAGTGGGAAGCCCCGGATCTAAAACCAGCCTCACCAAACACTTTATCTTCCTGGAGTTTCTTGGCTTATATATTTAATTGTGTTTGAGGAATTAAACACGCCTGAAAGATTATCACATTAATCATTATAACCAGTCTGGCTAAAAGTTTTCGGTAACCTGGAACTCCCTAAATGTAGTTTGAGCTTTCGAATTTGCATTTGCCCAGAACGACTCTTCTTCTCTACATTGGGCTCTATCACTTAACTGTGTAACTTTGGGCAGATTAATTAACTTCTCTGTGTGTCAGTTTCCCTGGTTGCTGATGGTGATATTGTTAGGATTTCTCTCAAAAGTCTGCTGTGATGATTCAGTGAATGAACGCATGTGAAATACTTAGCACTGAGCCGGTTACATCATAACCTGTACGTATGTTTGCTGTTGTTGCGACTACCATCGTTGTAGTCATCGTTATTACCATTGCTGTGTTGACAAGGTCCCGGCAAGTCTGATCATCACCAGGCTTAAACAATGGGACTCTCTCTGCCTTTAGGGCTGGAGGGAGAAATTTGAAGTTCAACCTCTGTGGAACTGAATAGTGTAGTGTTCTTAAAGGGAATTATTTCATATATATTTGGGTTAGATATGCTAGAGGAAGAGTCAACCGGACTATTATCTCCAAGGAGACCACGCAAAAAAGGTTAATTTAAAAAATCTGTGCAGCAATTTTTGTTTTGATTTTAACAAAGTCCAAAGTCACATTACTACTAGCAAATTCAGTTAATTTGAAGTATTTTCTGATATTTGCTTTCTATTATTATTATTTCATTTAGAACACACGTGCGCACGCGCACACACACACACACACACACACACACATAGCTTTGTCATTTCTTAAAAAACAAAAATGTCTGGGGCGCTTGGGTGACACAGTCAGTTGAGCGTTGAGCTCTCGGTTTCAGCTCAGGTTGTGACCTCAGGGTTGTGAGATGGAGCCCCACGTTGGGCTCCACACACAACGAGGAGTCTGCTAGAGATTGTCTGTCACCCTGTCCTTCTGCACCCCCTGCCCGTGCTGCTGCTCTGTCTCTTAAAAATAAATAAGTAAATCTTTAAAAAAACACAACAACAAAGAACAGTGCCTGAAAACCCACCAAGAATCAGAACTGGTGTCTCATAAAATAGCAGGAGGGACTACAAGCTTTGGAGTGAAAGCAGAAGGCAAGGGTTCTAGGTTGGATCTAGCCATGAGGAGCCCAGGAGCCTGGCTAAGCCAGTTCACCTCACCAGGCCTCTGGTCTTCATCTGGAGCACAAGTGTGCTGGGCCAAGGAACCTCATGTCTCTTTCCAATGACAGGCACTTAAGATTTTTCTTTTTTTTTAAAAGATGTATGTATTCATTTTATTTATTTAATTTTTAAATTTAAATTCAATTAATTAATATGTAAGATATTATTCGTTTCAGAGGTAGAGGTCAGTGATTCATCAGACTTGTATTAATGCCCGGAAGCAGTTACGATTTTTCTAATGATCACCGTCAAGCACTTCTTTGTCTGTGTAGAATCGTCATATTGAAAGAGCATGGGAAAAGAAACAGACCAACCCTCCTTTACAGGAATGAAGTTATCCCCGTGTTTCTCCAGAAACTCCTGCGGGCAACTGTACCATTGGGTAGTGCCGGGGAGCAGGGGTGAGCATGGTGGGAAGAGAAAGGAGAGGAATTGTGTTGAAGGAGATGGTTGGCCCATGGGGGTGGAGTCTGGCCATGTGTAGAGACAGGAGGAGGAAATGGGAGTCCCAGCTCACCGCTCATTTGCCCATGGTGACATGGAGACAGGGGCTGAGAGCATCCTTGGCCTCTAATTCGGCTGAGGTTAAAATCCTCCCAAAGACCTAATTACTGAATGGCTGGGCCACCTGGGCATTGACGGGAGCCCTGGCCACATGACTTGCTCGGCACTGAGGCCTCTCCTTGTCTTGCTGATGGGGGGGTGGGGGAGAAAGCGCCAGGTTCTGGTGAGTGGGTACTTCCCCCAACGCCCCCTGCCAACAATGAAGGGGCAAAGAGCAGCGCTCCTACCTTTCTTTTCCTAATATTAAGGCACAGGAAAATAATGTTCAACTAAGAGATCAGTATTCCATTCTCTATCAGTCAAAACCTTGAACTTAAGAGACCGGATGATCCAGTAGAGAGAACAGGGGTGACAAACCTCGGAAACTAACAGATTGTACAGACTTGTGCAAGGAACATAACCCACCCAAGCCTCAGTCTTAGAGCTGCAGAACTGAGGACTCAGAGCACCTGGCTGGGGGTTGTGGTTAAGATCATATATATATGATATGTATATATATATATAAATCATATATATATGTATATGTATGTCATATATATATGACATATATATATATATGTATTAAACACACACACACACACACACACACACACACACACACAGAAATTACTGAGTCTACAACACACATATGCCTTATATGTCCCGTATGTTGTAGGTCCTGCAAGTAGTCGGAAATGACCCTCAACTCAATGCTTATTGTAAAGAGTTCATGGCCCATCTCTACCATAATGGCGCCCCCTTTGGCGGTACTTTGATATACACCCTGAGAACAGTGTACTTCCTCTGATCATTCATCAGCCAGAAAATACACGAAAAGAATATTCTGGAGTTTTGTTTCTCTTGATGGGCGGGGAGAGGGATCCTCTCCCTTAAAAAATGAAAGAAAACAGCTAAAATATTTCACTTCCTCCCAAACACTAGGGCATATTAAAGCAAATCCTAACTTATTTTAAATCGTTTTGGACCTGGTTATTCAAGAAAGTACTCTGCAGCACTTACATATTTTCACTTAAAAAGCTGAATTCCACTGGGGCGCCTGGGTGGTTCAGTTGGTTAAGCATCTGCCTTTGACTCAGGTCATGATCCCAGGGTCCTGGGATCCAGCTCCGCATTGGGCTCCCTGGTCAATGGGGAGCCTACTTCTCCTTCTCCTGCTCCCCCTGTCTCTCTCTCTCCATCAAATAAAAAAAAAAAACAAAACTTAAAAAAAAAAGTAGAATTCTATTGAAGAGAATTGGGAGCCACATCCTGTTTCCTATGGCCCGGGGCAAGGAGTGCAAGGATTGAGGGGGTGGGGGTGCGGCAGAGTGGATGGGCTGCATGGCCATCTTATAAAGGCCAGGTTCTGAGTGAGAAAGAGTCTTTCACCAGGGCTTCTGTTTTCCCACTCACTCTCTCAAACAGCCAAGTCATTTCCCCTCTGTCCAGCAGCACGGCACTCACACTCTTAACTGGCTCTCCTTCGGAGTCAGGGAGGCTGGGTGAGATGGAGGCCTGGGTTCCTCACTGTCCCTGGACCGACTCAGCTCCTGGCAGCACCACCAGAATTATTTCCCGTTGTCTAAGGTTAGAAGGAGCAAAGTCAGCCTGTATTTTCCTTATTCTCAAACAGGGTCAGTGCAGAGTTGCTCTTTTTGGGAGCAGGGTCAATGAAAATCCAAAACCACAGTGCAGGGGCTGTTCATCCACTCTGCTAAGGGAGCAGAGAGGTCAAGCAAAGGGCAGTGCAGGCCCAGGATAAGAGGAAAACAGGACAAGCGCAGTGACCAACAGACTCCAGCTTCAGAGCCTGGGAGAGGTGGCAATGGGCAGAAGGGCCACCTGGTACCCTAAAAGAAGCAGGAGCCACTCAGCCGGGCAGTAGTGCCTCATCTTTGCACAAAAGGCCCGAAATCTGAACGTGGTGCTCAGTACCCAAATTCCTAAAAGTTGGTAATTAATACCAATGTTCCGAGATACGGCATGTGGCCACATTGTGCTGACCAAACGTAACACACGTGTGGATGGCAGTTTGTCCTCTGCGGGCTGAACCCTGGAAACAACTGTCCCGCAGGGAGCAGGGAGCGGGAAGGGAGAGAGGGCACAGGGTAAGTAAAGCCCACTGTATACAGTGTGTATATGGGGGGCAGAGAGGCTTGGCAAGAAGGACAAGCAGAAAGCTAGCAGAGGGCTTTGGTGCTTCCTAGGAAGGAACCGAGACAAATTCTTTCCCAGGGAGCCTGTTCTGGGGAGAAGGGAGGAAGCAGGGTGTCCAGGCCTTGCTGGTCATGTGCTGTACAGGTACCCAATGGAAGGCTGTTGCTGGGGAGAGAACGACTGGCTCACACAGAGCAGGGCTCCTCGTTTCCAATAGCAACCCTCAAGCTCTTCCTCCGCCGGCCTCAGCAACTCGGGGCTGCCGGTCCCCTCTGGCTGGTTCCCTCTCTTCCCTGTGTCATGTGCCTTTCTCTTGTCTCACCGGGGTTGCTATGTCACTACCAGGTGACTGTTTCATTTAGACTGCTCTCTGTATAGCAGACGGTGAGGTTGTGGGTGGGAAGGGGAGAAACATAACGGTCCCGGTCCCAGTCCACGGTGATCGTGAAGTGATCATGAGTATGAAAAGGGGCAGAAAGGTCTTGAGCCTTCATTCTCTAACAGCCCGGAATATGTCTCTAGAAAAAGACAGGGGATCCTAAGTGGTCCAGGAATTGGCCCCAGGCCAGGGCAATCAGATTCAAGAATGTATTGGGAGGTATCAGGATACACCATATACACAGGGGGAAGAAAGAAGCCATGAATTTTTGTTACGCAGTGATAAGGTACAAAGACACTGATATACGTACACACAAAAGTGCAACTTCTGGTGTAACCTATAGAACTGTATTTCCCAAACTCGAGTCAGTTGTATATTACCAACACAATTTTTTGTTTGCTTGTTTGTCTTTTAAGTAGGCTCCACACCCAGCCTGGAACTTAACACAGGGCTTGAACTCATGACCCTGAGATCAAAACCTGAGCTGAGATCAAGAGTCAGATACTTAACCAACTGAGCCACCCAGGAGCCCCTCTACCAACACAACTTTTAACCGGATTCTTCCATCATCCATCCTAGTATCCACTTGGTATTTTTCTTTAAATTAGGTCAATTTTTGATGTGAATAACTTTATTAAATGGGAAGTTTGTATCACTGCCCCAAATAAGAAGCCGGTATCATGTGCCATAAAGGGAAAGTGATAATAAAAACAAATGTTACAAATAATTATGCACAGACCAGTTAAATCATCCCTCATGTTACCAGGTGTGTGTATGTACTGAATGGAATTACCATGTTAAGGAGTAGAAGAAAAGCCAGCCAACCTGGCCGGCTGACTCTTGGAACTCTCACCCTCTCTAATGAGATGTCTTGAGCTGTCAGGCAAGCTATTTCTTAGGTGGCTGATAAATCCAAGAGCTTTCATGTTATTACTTGGGTTCCACGACTCACTTTAGCTACTAGCTCCTTACCTTGACGGTGTGGTGATCAAGACTTTTGGTGCAAATAGTAGGTACTTAATACATGCTTTAAGATAAGTGATAACGCAAGGAAAGTCACCCCCCAGGTCTCGGTATATGTTGGTCTCATCATGCAGCTGGACCTAAGGATCTGAGCTCGTCCAAGAGACCATGGCAGGAAGACCCTGCCCTAGGATCAGCAAAGCCCCGAAGAAGACCAGACTCACCACTTCTTCGACTTCAGGCGAGGCGCTGGGTTCCGGGGGATGAGGAAGAGGGCTCTCATGGGATGCATGTCGCAGAGAGCTGCAAGAGACCAAAGCAAGGGCCAGCTCAGGTTAGGATGCCAAACCCAGACCGAACGGCTCTGAGGCCGCAAAGGCCCAGTGAGCAAAGTCAGAAGACTGCCAAGCTTCTATGTGCTGAACATTCAACAGAGCGGATGTCGAATCACAGAAGTCTCATAAAATTTGCATATTAACTGTACACTGTTAACATTTCTACTTCATTTCATATGTAAGAAAACCAAGTTAAAGGGTCAAAGCCTTTGCTTTGCTATAAATAACCATCTCAGATTCAGAGTGAACAGTATCAGGGTAACAACCACAATGGAGATGGTAGGTTATTCTTAATTTGTAAAAGCCTAAGTCATAAAATGAAAGCTAGATGGGCCATTTCTTACACACTGAAGGTTCATACACATGCAGTGCTATCTGCATAGATTTTTTTAGAGTCTAAAGCACTAGACCAGAACACCTTTCTCTCTGTATTTCCAAATGTCCTCATGGCTTTTCAGGTTTCATGACAGGCTTGTTTCTGGGTTTTGTTCATTCGTTTGTTTGTTTGTTTGCTCACTGGCCCCAGGAAGAACAGAGAGATCAAGGCAAAGAGGCTCTGGTATTAGAGTTACTAAAATATCTCAACCTGTAAATACGGCATTATGGTTTAGAGAGAAAGCACTCACGCATTCTTATTTTAATCAAAATATTTCACTAGTTTACTTCTCAAACCTCTGGGGCTATCTTTTCCTTTTTGCCCAGAGTAAAAATATAGTCTCCTTAAAAACTAAAGGATTCTGGAAGTAGACATTTATTTTTAGCCCCCTCTACTACTCATCAAGAATGATAATATGAGAATAATATTTTGGACTGAAATATACGATTTTTCTGATTCATAAATGCCTATTAGCATTGCGAATGAAGGGAATTTTGTCAACAGACACTCCAAATCAATCACACTACAGAAGAATTCTACCAACTCTAGAGTGAGAAATACGAAGTCTAGGATAATGAGAAGAGAAACAGCCCTATGAGCAGAATGACCTGCCAGGCACAGAGGGGGGCTGTTTTGGGTCAGGTCCTCTGGAAAGCAGAGGCCAAGGCAGCACTAACCACGTGAGAAGATAGTTCCAGGGAGAATTCCTGCCTGAAAGGCAGTGGGGAGGGGGCCGGGCCGGCTGGCACACCTGTCTCATTGCTCTGCAAGTCTGATTGGAGTGAAAGCGAGAGGCAGACAAGGCAGCTGAAGTGTGTGCTAGACCGAGGAAAGGAAGCGGTGGACCTGAGGGGTGAGAGTTTGTGTCTTCGAGAAAAAAGCCTGCGTTCTATCCCTGCCATGCTAGGACACTGGCTGTGGGGTGGAGCGGGGCCCCGGGGGCCGCACCAGCAGCCGGACCCTTGGTGAGCCGGCTTCCTGCAGGGAAGTCCCCGGAACCCGAGGTCACGGGCAGCACGCGGCTGCTGGAGGCGCTCGGCAGCACCGACACGCCACAGCGCAAGGCCTTTCCGACGGTCCCCAACGGCCCGAGCCCCGGCCACTCGGCCTCACACCTAAAGATCCGAACAGCAGTATCCTGTGAGGAGGGAGAGCACCCGAGTACAAGGGTTTGCGTAATCGCGCGCTGAGAACCGGCTCTGATTCGCGCTGCTGGAGCTCCCGGGCTTTGCGGGCGGGCCCCAGCTCTGCTCCGAGTAAAGAGCAGATCAGGAATCAAGGACGCGCGGCATCTGTCAAACAACCCACATTCCCGGAGTGCCTTTTCCCTTTCCTTCTTTCCCCTCCGGACACAAGATCCTCACGCGGCTCTAAAACGAACGGATTCCTGGCGGAGCTGAGACGACTTTGCCCGCTCCACGCGCCGGCTCGAACCCACACCCGGCTCGGAAGGAAAGACGCGCCGGCACCTGGCAGGGAAGGCGCAGGGTCCGCGGACAGCAGCCCCGCGACAGATCGCACCCGGAGGACGGTACTTACGGGGAGCACCTTCTGCCATCTCGATAGCGGTGATTCCCAAGGACCACAGGTCACTCTGAAAGAGACAAAGGCACACGCATCACAAATGCAGGCGACCGAGAGGAAGCTGCTTCAGCTGCTAACGGCTCCAGAACTCCCTGCAGGAAAGGCAATCCTCTATAGACCTGTTTCACCCAGGAAGCTTAAAAGTGGCCTTTTTCTTTTTTTCTACTTTTTGTGGGTAGCATCTTTCACGGTATGATCTGACACACTGCGGATTTTCAGTAAATATATGAAAAATGAATATGAGGTTTTAGAAATTAATTGATCACCAAAATTTATCTGCGTATCAAACCATACGAAACTGGTATGATTTGACTGTTTTTTTTTTTTAACACCTTTATTCAGGTATAATTATCATAGAATTAACTGCTTATAGTTCAAGTGTTATCATTTGGCAAGTCTGGAGGCGTCTGCCCCTGGGAAACCATCACCACAATCAGCACTAAATATACCTAGCACCCCCAAAATGTTGCACGTGCTCCTTTGAAATCTCCCCTCCTGCCCTTGCTGTCCCCTGACCCAGTTCCCGCTCTGAGGCAACCGCTGATCTGCTTTCTGTCACTGTGGACTAGTTTGCATCTTCTGAAGTTTTACAGACATTGAATCATTCCCTTTCTCTCTGGAATGTAATGGACAGTGTGTGGCAGTACTTCATTCCCTTTTACTGCCACTGCTGTTCCATCCTGTAGCTATCCCTACTACAATTTGTTTATCCATTGTGGACGGACATTTGGAGTGTTTCCAGTCTGAGCTACGCCAAATAAAGCAGCTACGGATGTTCACATACAAGTCTTTGTATGGACATAGGCTTTTATTTCTTTAATGTAAACATCTACGAGTAGAATGGCTGAATCATATAGTAAATGTGTACTTAGTGAATTGTCTTTGACCTACGAAGACAGCAACTTCAGACGGTTTAATCAAATAAGATGAGGACAGGGAAACTGTTGGGTGGTGCCGTTTACTGATAATCTCCAGTGCCCAGGACAGAGCCAGGCATGTGCTTGATATGTTTGTTGAATGAATGAACAATATCTTTGATCTTGTAAGTAGGCAATATGCAAAACAGAGAGCCTGTACCCTTAAGTTCTTTCTTATGGTAAGACGGACTTTTACATTCTTTTCAGAATTTTCTAGACTCATGCCATTACCCCCTCCTATACAATCTGAGTCTGCAATAGCATGCTTCTCCTCCTCTCTGCGTCTATGGCTCAGTTGTCCCTAGGGATTGCACAGGAGGGAGCAAATCAAAAAAGGGGGAAACCAGATAAGGAAGCTTGCTGCTTCAATGCCCCTGCACACTGGTTAAGGTCATACAATGTGAAATTTGGTTCAATGGCCTACAATCCTGATGAAGACTCTCACCTTCCTTTCATTTTCAATATATCCTGCATTTTGTATGTCATTCTGAATTCTCTCCTCTAACCTCTCGCAGATTACAGAGATCAAAGTTAAGTTTCCTTGTTCTTGCCATCAAACAAATTTCAAGGCCACAAGAAAGGAGATATACGTAGAAAAGGGACTATGAAATCCATGCTGAGCCATTAACCAGAACTAAACTTCTGAGCACCCTGTGAGTGACACCCAACTCTGCTCAGTATCCTGACGGAGACCCGCACATGCCCACAGGGGCTTTCTTGCAGGGGAGGGGTGTAGCCTCTTGCCTGAAGTGTCATCTACTTTAGAGTAGGTGTCTGGGACACACACTAACCCTCTAAAAGGACTAAGGGGAGATTCTTTTAATTCATGAGCCTATTAATCAGTTCACATGTTACATGTTCTCAGTTTGACTTGGGATAATAACACACCTGCACAATATCACTGTTCTCAGATCCTAAGTCACCTTTCCGCTTAGAACACAACTCAAGAAGGCAACTCTCATTCTTTTTCTTTGTTACATTTCAAGATGTATTCAAAGTTGTCATCACACATGCACACGCGCGCGCACACACACACACACACACATACACACATGTTTGCACAGCCCAGCAAGTGACTGAGGTGACTGGGGGCTCCTGGCCTTGCTTAGAGAGGCCCCGCTGCAGCTAATGGGGAAAGCCCATGCCCCTACAGTGCACTGACTCAGGAGCAGTAACTGGTAAAGCAGAAAACACAACGCTCTCCTACCTGGGGCTTTAGGGTTGATCAACATAGATAATCATTTGACAACATGACAGAAACACTGAGTCAGGGGTGCCTGGGTGGCTTAGTCGGTTGAGCATGTGCCTTCAGCTCGGGTTGTAATCCTGGGGTCCTGAAATCAAGCCCCACATCGGGCTCCTTGCTCAGCAGGGGATCTGCTTCTCCTTCTCTCTCTAACCCTCTTCCCTACTTGTTCGTTCTCTCTTTCTCTCTCTCTCTCTCTCTCAAAAAAAAAAAAAATTAAGGAAAAAAAACCACTGAGTCACTCACAGTGCAGGAGGTATTAAACAGGAAACACAGCAGGAATAGACTGGAGATGGTAGGCTGTGCTATTTTGATAGGATTTCAATAGGACTTGGTGGTTCTATCACTTTCCCTCTATCTCCATAAATCAAGTATTTCTCTCATGTGCAATGAGGTACAAATTCAGAGGCGGTGGCCAGGCTCTCTGTCCCTAAGGGCCACAGGAGGGTCAAATTTAAGTGGCCTTCAACTCCTGGAAGTTTGAGTGGGTCTGAAAGCCAACTGAAGGCCAACACTTCGAAATGACAGGGCTCAGGAGAGAAGAGCTCCAGGCCAATCCTCAGATGGGGAAAAATCATGCAGAAAATCTAGGCAAACATCTGACTCTGAGTCCTTGCTCTCGCTCTCCCCTCTGCTTGCAGCCACAACCCTAACTGTGTGCTGGCTGACATCCTCCTCTCTGTAAAGTCTTTGCTCAAATGCCATGTTCTCAGTGGAGACCCATGACTGTCTCCTCGGGCCTTGCCAGACCCCGTCCCCTTTCCCACTTTTGCGCCCCAGAGAATGAATCACCCTCTCACATCTGTGTAATTTACTCATTCCTAATCTATACTGTGTTATGTTTACTGTTTGTGTCCCCGGCCCCCAGCACACACAGACTGGATATAACACAAGGTCCATGAGGGCAGGGATCTTTGTTTTGTTGCCTAGTTTATACCAAGTACCCAGAGCAGCACCCAGCACACAGTAGGCACTTAAGAAATAATTGTTGGATGAACGAACAAATGAAAGATGCATGAGGGAAAGGGGCAAAAACTGTGTCCTAAGACTGTTAGATTTCTCGTAGGGCATCTCCCACCTTCTATTTCACAGACAAGGGGAAAGGATGTACCCAAGACCACAGAGCAACTCAACACCGGCTTTGGAGCACTGTCATCACGACATAAAAGCCCGAGTATTCATCTTATAAGTAAAACTTATGAGGGGCCCATAAAAGAATTGTTCCAAATTCCTACTTCATTTACGGGTAATGAAGGTGCTGGAGACTCAACGAAGTTGCTAAGATCCAGAGAGGCACCCGAAAAACCAGTGCTAGGAAATAGGCTTCAACTTCCCAGAGGCAGCATGAATAGTCTTCGAAGTCAGATGAACGTGCATTCAAATCCATGTTCCTAACTACCCGCAGAACACTGCTCAGAGCTTAGCTTGCTCAGTGTACAACAGAGCTAACTGGGACATGCATGCACACGGGTCTGCTGCCTGGCACAGTCTTGGGCCCACGGTAAAGCTCAAGCATATGAATTTCCTTCTTCTCCACTATTAGGTAAGCTGCCTGTGTCTGCCCAATACATTCTTCTAGGAGTCCCCTCTCTCTGGTTGTGGCAGACCTTGTTTGTTGGCTAACCCCACAAGAATTTTTCAGTCCCCATTTCCCTTGCTGCCTCCACTTCAGAGCGCAGGAAAGCTAAGCTTGTTTTTCCAGACTCCCCTGCAGCTAAGGAGGACAGGTAAGGATGAGAAGTAGTTCTGGCCGATAAGACACAGGTGGACATCCTCTGGGAGCTTTGGGGAAAGCTTTTGTTTTTCTTGATAAGAGTGACAAACACAGTGGATGTCTTGACAACTCTTTCCCACTTCTTAGTGCCTTGAATAAAAACACGATATCTAGGGTTACAGCATCCATTTTACAACTGTGAGGCAGTAAGTCAACAAATTAATTACAACAGGGTAGAATGGTAGGAGCCTGGATTTGAGTATATCCATGAGCTACTACACCAACCCTGGACGGCCTGCCTCTAGACTTCTGATGATGTAAAGAGACATAAGAACAGCCAAAAACCTTCCTTAGTGATAATATGTAGACAGCAATAATTTGAGCAAAAAAATTCTGACAGCAGAAAAATGGAGAGGTCCCAGTTGTTAGGTGATCCTGGTTTACCCCCAAAGGAAGCAGCAGAAGTCAGGGAAGAGAAAGATTTCTCTTATTCAGGACACATCACCTCAGATCCCCTCTTAAGCAGCTTCCCCCCTAAGTCCCAAAACAATCCCTTGGGAGGGTGTGACCCTCCCAAGTCCTGTGCAACCTCTGTCACATGACCAGGCCAGAAAGTGCTTCTTCTTTAAGACCTTGTTTGATATCATCATTAGGAATAAATAAATAAATAAATGTGTGTGTGTGTGTGTGTGTGTGTGTGTGTGTATTATATATCATATAAAATACACACACACACACACACACACACACACACACATTTCCCCCCTTGGGGTTCTCTTCCTTTCCAAAAGGCACATTTATATTCCTGGCCATATATACCCAGAGCTGCTTGTAAGCTACGCTTAGCTGCCCATGCTAGATAGCAATAAACGTCCTTGACGGGACTTGTTTTAAGCCTTTGGATACATTAGCAAGTCCCAAAGACACTTCAGAACTTAAATATGGGAGAAAATGTTCCAGTTACAACTGGCAAGACAGATCACAGGAGACGAGAAAGGGAAGAGGGGGGAACAAGATGGGGAGAGAGTCAGGGAGAGATAAGTTTCCTTTGTGGCCATGGTGTGACTCATTTTGGCAGGAGCTGGGTAATTCATTATTCCAGAGGTGCTGTGCAGCCTGGCCTGTGGCATGAT